CTGTTCATGAAAAACTGAATTAAAGAGTCCTCTGTTATTTTACAATGATAGCAACAATTAATGAGATGCTAATTTCTAAAAATTGCCAAATATGCAGCTAAAATCGATGTATAAAGTAACATTAAGATATCTCAAAGTTCTTGAAGATATAAAAATCTCAAAGATATCTTAAAGTCATCTTTTATGCATTGATTTTAGACATTCTGCTTATTGAGTAATTAAAAAAAAAATTGCAAAAATTCCAAATAGTAGAGTACTTTTTGATTCATAAACAGCACATACATGCTGATCCTTCCAGCTGATCTGGATCATCCTGTATATAAATTGTTATATGTGTAACTAGCGACAACAGTATTAATGTATAATATTAAAATGTTGCAATTAATACCATTAATTCTTGTGCACAACAATAAAAATTTTATTTTATAGAATTTAATTACTACAACAAAACATTGCTATTTAAGTTTTGTTATATTTTTTTTCAAAATCAGGAAATAAAATTTATTATATATAAAGCATAATTGATAACGTTAAACTATTGTATTCCTGTACTTATTTATATATATATATATATACATATTTACTCATATTATTTCAATTTTATAGATAAAAAAATGTAGAAACATTTATGTATTTTAAATATTACTAACCTTTAAGACCAGGATCATCATTTTTTGTCCTAATATTTGTAATTTTTACTGGCTTTCCAGATAATGTGGACAATAATAAGCGATATCTGAGATAATTACTACCTTCGTATACAAGTACTTTGTTTTTTATTTTAGTTGACATTTTGTAAAAAAAATAAGATAAATCTTTAAAACCGCGTTACTATTTTATATTCATGCGTATTTATGCGTATTGTAAAAAATTTACTAGATACAGACACAACAGAAATACCAACAGCGTCAGGGCTGTGTGGCTCACAAGGCAGAACGAAAATTTACCAATCAGTGTTGTTAGACGGGTTTCAGACGCACGCGTGTCCAATGTAGGACATATTCAGTAACGTACCGGACACTAGTAAATAGGAGATTATTAGTTGCCTATGTGTAATTTTTTCAAAAATGTTAAAAATTTTAATATATTTTATACATCTTACATATGTATACATATATAAAAATATATTATATATATTTAAATATATGTATACATATGTAAAATGTGTAAAATATATTAAAATTTTCTACATTTTCAATCCTAAGCGACTAATGATCTCCTATTTATTAATGATCGATACGTAGAGCTACGTTGGACGCGCATACATCTGAAACCCAGTCCGTCTAACAACACTGCTACCAATTCGGAGGAGAGACCAGGCCTGGAATCGAAACGAGGAGCGCCCTGATATTTTTCTCTGTTGTCAATTGTTTACAGCATTGACACCAATTGGCACCGTCGCATAATGGAATTTAAGCGGAGAAAGCACAAACTCTTGCACAAAGCCGTAAATACAATGGGCGCATTTAACTTAACAAAGCGGCTAACCTGAGCCAACCTGCTCGTCGAACAAATGAATATGATTGGTTGATACTTATAGATCCAATCAATCATATTTAATTGCTCGGTAATAACACTGTGCGTAATAGGACTACGGAATAGAAAATATGTCATTGAAGCATCCAACCAGAGACCTTATTCTTGAGCACAATTATAAATAATTTTTATATTCGAAAATGATAGTTTCTCGTAATTGGTCGATTGTATACGGAATTGCTATTTTCATATGCGATATTTGTTTAAGAATAGAATGCCAGTGCTATTTCGCATTTTGCCTTCAATTTTGCCTTTATTTCCCAATCCTTTTCCGCATCATGTGATTTTACCCTAAAGCTCAATCTACATTACATGCAAAGCAATCTTAATTTTGCTGCGACAGCCAATCTGAAGCATTAGTTTCAAAATGCAAGCTTCAAATTGGCTGTCGTTACAAATTTGCGATTGGCTTGCGTCTAACGTAGAATGAGCTTTAGAGTAAAATCACACGATGTAGAAAAGGACTGGGAAATAGAGAATGCATCATTGACCTAATTTTCACCGAGGATTTAAACTGGATCAGAATGTAAGAACTAACCAACTACAGTCGAGCATTCTTCTGTTGTTCAATTGTAACAGGGGAATACTCGACTGTTGTTGGTTGGTTCTTACATTCTGATCCGGTTTAAACTCTCAGTGAAAACTAGGTCATTGAAACAATCAATTAGCGTTATTCGAAATAATGCAGAATAATGCTGATTGGTTACTTCTGTGACGTATTCTCTATTCCGCAGTCGTTTTCTGCAATATAATTTTACACCCTTAGACTTAAACACAATGGGCACAGACAATAGACACAGAGAATAGAGAATAACAAGTTGCTCAATTAGATCTTTGGTGTGTAAGTTTGATATTATATCCCAGAGCTCTGATTGGACGGTTCGTTATTCTTTGTTGCCTGTGTCTATTGCCTGTGCTTATTACCTGTATTTATTGCCTGCGCCTATTGTGTTTAAGCCTTTAAGCCCAAGACACAATACGAGGGAATAGCAATAAAAATAAATACGATTTTAACCTATCGGAAACTGTATATTTTGATATACCCGATTTCTGATAAATTGAAATCGTGTTATTCCTATTGCTATCGCTATTTCCTCGCATTGTGTGTCTTGAACTTTAGAGTAAAATCACACAGAATAGAGAATGCGTCATTGGAGAAACCAATCAGCGCTATTCCGCATTTAATGTTGCGGAGTAGAGAATGCGTCATTGTATCCTAATGGCTCCTGCACACAGAACGCTTGCCGCGCGATGGAAGTTGGATTGAGTTCACTTTTTGTTGCGCGGTAAAAATTATATATCTATTACTTTCGAGCAAGTGAGACGTTGATTGGCTATTGCGCCAACATCCATCGCACGGCAAGCATTGCCGTGTGTTGTGTGTAGGAGCTATTAGTACACTCTACCCATATCGAGTGCACGATGTAAACTAGGCTTAGATGGGACACAATGAAGATGCTTTTTAGATCTTAGTCGTATTATTAATGGTACACTTTGATTATTGAGAACTTGGGCTGATTGTGCCCATAAACATATTTTCTTTTTTAAAGAATCCTTCCCCTAAATTCTGCCATCTCTTTTTCACTTTTTTCAAAGCAAATAACCTTCTTATTTGAATTTCCTCCGTCTGGCTCGTGCTTCGCGAATTTATTGCGGCGGGGGGAGGAGGAGAGAGCAAAGTCGATCGCAAATACTGTCTCTCTATGTTCCACGTTACTTATGGTTAACTAGTAAGCTTTTAATACTTGCCGCCAGGTGCGGCTGGCCAAATCGATTCCGTTATAGAAGTCGTGTGCCATTCTCTTGTGAAAAAGAAGAGAGGCTAATTGTGACGAATGCTCAAAAAGCTAAAGTCATTCAGTTCTTTTTAAAATCATTTGATACTAGTTGTTCGTCGACGTATTTAATAATTTAATTAAATTTATACAAACTTCTGATACTATAATGGAAGAACTGGGCATTATTTTACCCGATAAGGTATGTTTATCATTAATTGCGTCTGCATATCTGGATTTGTGGACGTAACGGTAACCTTTTCTATGTAACTATAAAATTATCATTAGGTTCTCTTCTTTTTGATGGGACTACAGCTGATAATTTTAAATAAAAAAATTGTGCATGATAGTACAATACATATATTTTTGCAAATATATATACTTATGCACATATGTATATATATGTATATATATATATACACACACACACACACACACACACACATATATATACACATACATATCTAACACACACATCCATATTTATGTAAACTTGTGTTTGTATTTTCAGGATATAGGTGAAATTGATTGCAAACCAGCTGTTGGTCATTACACGGGAGCTGGAGATGAATTGGATGTTGAAGATCTTTATACTAAATATAAGGTATAAATATTATACTTATATATACAGATAGATCCATGTAAAATGTGATAAAATGATTAAAAAAACATAAAAGATTGGAAAAACGTTTCAGACACAAATAGAAATTTTGAGGACTAATTTAATTAGGTTAGGTTTTTTTTTAAGACATTAAAATGATATGAGTCACTTCCATTTTTGAAAATGGAATTACATACATTTTTAAATCAAATATATTTAATATTGTGCGTATTGCGCCCTCCTCCCACAGACACACACACACAATCTATCACAGAATTATATTAGGTGTTTTCCATTTGATGACACAAGTCGACATGTCATTTTATCTTTGTCACTCTCTGAACGTCAAAAAGGATTAAGCAACGCTTGTGTCAACTTGTGTCATCAAATAGAAAACCAAAACATTATAACATTAGATTTACTTCTTTTAACTATTGTCAAACATTGTATGTACTACATGTGCAGAATAAGTATATTTGCATGCTGCGTATGTTTTCTACATACTTTTAAACTAATCGCAGAAACGATAAATCACTTGACCTGACATCTTTTTTCTGTACATGACAGTCTTAAACCCAATTTCATAACTCACAGTTAACTAAGATTTAACTTGTTCCTTATCTCTTTCTAATTTTAGAATTGGAAAGAGACAATGAATAAATTGAACCTCAGTTAGAGTTATCTGTGAAACTGGACCTTATTGGCTACGTCAGCAGAATGTTTATTTTGCAACTGTTGGAAGTTTTTTTCGTGCTTGGATACTTTTAGATCTAGAAGAGTAGTCCTATATTAGCAGACAATGGCTGTGTTCAGCCAAAAAGAAAGCTTTGCAATTATTGCAAAATTCTTGAATATGATTGGTTTATATATTTAGATCCATGAGGAACTAAGGGCAAGGTCAATCATATTAGAGAATTTTACAACAGTAAAATGCATTGCAAAGCTGCTTTTTCTGATGAATGCAGCCAATGATAAAACTGTTGTGCTCTGCTGAATGCAATCTTTCTGTGCATCCACAGCGCACAGGGCTCATATTCTGTATGTATGTATATACATACACATCTACCGACAATTGTCGGTATTGTTAAGTAGCGTCAGCCAATGAGAATCGCGCTTTTTTTTTAGGATAGTCATTGCCATTAGCTGTCGTTAATTATCGATATCATAAATAATTTTTTATTTTTATGTTATAGGAAGTTTAATTCGGGCGTAATGCATGATGGCAACTGTCGGTAGATGTGTACAGAATATGCGTCCCTGGAAATACTTTTACAAAAGGAAAAGTGGGGAGTTAAATTAAACGTTATGCATATTGTTCGGCCATTATGCATTATGCTCGAATTAATCAAATTTCTCGTAACACATAAAGAATAAAGGATTATTACAGATTACAAATATATTTTTTGAGTAGAAATTGCAGAGGATGTTGGAATTTCTTGAAGTACAAGAAGAATATATTAAAGATGAACAACGTAATCTAAAAAAAGAATATTTGCATGCTCAAGAAGAAGTTAAACGTATCCAGAGTGTACCTTTGGTCATTGGACAATTCCTAGAAGCTGTTGATCAGAATACTGGTATAGTGGGTTCTACAACAGGCTCAAATTATTACGTACGAATTTTGTCTACTATAGACAGAGAACTCTTAAAGCCTTCTGCTAGTGTAGCGCTCCACAAGCATAGCAATGCTTTAGTGGATGTGCTGCCACCAGAAGCTGATTCTAGCATTTCTATGTTACAAGCAGGTAATAATTTACAACTTTTGGGTATTGTACAGTGGCTTTAAAACATTTAAAAAAATTAACAAAATTTAAATTTGATAAAACTCTAAATAGAGTCAAAGTCTTAATAATTAAAGTTATATAACTAATTACATATATAAGATTTAATTCAATATATTTTTTTATTGCTGTACATTGTCTGGTAATCGCCTGTTTTTTACTATCTGATTTTTCCTTCCTTGGTCTTCTAAAAATAAACAATTACAATGAGATTAAATTAAAATAAAATGTATTGGATTTGTAATTCAGATGAGAAACCAGATATCCAATATAGTGATATAGGTGGAATGGATATGCAAAAACAAGAGATCAGAGAAGCAGTGGAGTTACCTCTCACTCATTTTGAATTGTATAAGCAGATTGGCATTGATCCACCTCGAGGTGTACTTATGTATGGACCACCTGGTTGTGGAAAAACTATGTTAGCAAAAGCTGTTGCTAGACATACCACTGGTATTAAAGAACTATTATAAATATTTAACTTAACTGCATAACAAAATGATAAACAAGAAGAGGATCTTAAAAAAAGCCGATTTTTGTTAAAAAAAAGTATAAGAAAAGAAAGTGTTTTTTTTCATAGATTTTAACCTCCTGGTCAAATACAATAAAATTATTAAAAAGTTTGAAATGTTTGAAGGACATTTCGAAAATTGAGTCTGAAGATGGTATATTTATTTAAATTTTAACGTTCTTACTTTTCGAAACATTTCTTAAACGTCACGAATTTTTTAATAATTTTAATTGTATCCAGGAGGCCAAGGTACAAAAAACACTATTTCTCACCTTTTTGGGCAAAAAATCAGATCTTTTTTAACATCCTCTTTTTTTCTAATTATATTGTTATCTATCTTCTAGCTGCCTTTATTCGTGTAGTGGGTTCTGAATTTGTGCAAAAATATTTGGGTGAAGGACCAAGAATGGTACGAGATGTATTCCGTTTGGCAAAAGAAAACTCACCAGCTATAATATTTGTTGATGAGATAGATGCTATTGCTACCAAAAGATTCGACGCTCAAACTGGGGCAGATCGTGAAGTGCAACGTATTCTTTTAGAGTTACTTAATCAGATGGATGGTTTTGATCAAACAACTAATGTCAAAGTTATTATGGCAACAAATAGGTGAATCAATTCTAACTCCGCTAAAAATATAATGTTATTAACTTGCCTCTACATAATTTGTAAATTGTAAAATGTATTTCGTAAATGCAGTCGTACAATAACGATCTGCATTTTGCGAATTGACTGGATTAGACTAGACAAGACTAGACTATGGACTATGTTAACTTTTGCGCTGCGGCGATTGCATTGGCCAGTAATATAGCAGAAATGAATTTTGTACTTGCTCATTTAGCAGAAAGCCCTTTTTATCAATTTCTGTAATATGGAAAATATCAGACACAGGATGTGTTTACTTTTTACGCTCACGTGCTTTAAGCACTGATAAGTATCGCTTACATCATTTATTTTTTCCATCGAAAGTGCTCAGAGAAGGGCAGAGAAACATTTTATTGCGACGTCATAGATGTTGCTCACAAGCGCTTCGTCCATCGAAGTAAAGCCTCAAAAGTGTTAGCACTTACAGACACTTATGGACAAAAGTAAATGCAATGAATGCGTGATATAATCCAAAAATAAAAAATGGCTAGTGAATGTGTTTATATAACATGCACATTTTGGTATTTTCACTATAAGGACCATAATCCTCTTTGTTATCGTCCATTGACAGAAGAATTGACACTTGTCCAAATAATATTGAAATAAGTTATTTTTTATCCATTATTATATATTATACTTATAATCGCTTATAAAACAAAAAGTGAATGACTTTGCTTCATGTCACAGCGTTTACAGCACGTGAGTGTAAAAAGTAAACGCACCCACAGTAAATTTCTGTAACCTGATTTAAATTAAATTATCAATGTTTTAAATGTTGTAATTCAATTCATTGTATGTGGCATGATGCAAGTAGTCTACTTACATCATGGCATGCAGTTGGTTTGGATTCGCGTGTATTTTGCATGCGATGCAATGCCATTTTGCATTTGCAAACTACGTTTTGTAATTTGCAAGTTAGAGGCAGCTGTATAGCTATATCAGCAATATCTTCACCTTTATTCTTATGTATTTTTGCAGAGCGGATACATTGGATCCTGCATTGCTTCGTCCTGGTAGATTAGATCGCAAGATTGAATTTCCATTGCCTGATCGTCGACAGAAGCGCTTAATCTTTTCCACGATTACTGCAAAAATGAATTTGAGCGAAGAAGTGGATCTCGAGGATTATGTAGCACGACCAGATAGAATTTCTGGTGCTGATATTAATGCTATCTGTCAAGAGGCAGGAATGCATGCAGTTCGTGAAAATCGTTACATCGTTTTAGCAAAAGATTTTGAAAAAGGTTATAAAAATAATATTAAGAAAGATGAGTCTGAACATGAATTCTACAAGTAAATTGAATAATGTTCCGTTATGTATCTATATCTTATATACTTATATAACATGCGTATAATAATAGACATGTTACAAGATTTAAATGATGAATACAGTTGCTGTGTGCTCTATTGATTTTCTGTCTATCATCTTTTTTACATTACCTTCTTATCATTTGGAGTATGCTGTAATCAAGTAATATCTTGATCATTGTAATTACTTTCGTCAATTTTCTTTTATTGCATGTCCTTTTAAAGAAGATTACACGTATCTTACATAACATTTCCATCTTGATCTTTTTTTCTTGCGTGCCTATTTCCTTAGGCTTTTTACAGTTATGATAAGATAATACTATGGCCAGTATTCATAGTCGATTCTTATATTTTTGAGATTTATCTTAAGTCTTAAATATAAAAAGATTTGAGACAGTCTTAAGACAGTTCTTTCATAAGTATCCAGTCAGAGGGTTGTGTATTAGCATCTTAAGACATTATTTAAGACTGTCTTAAAATAAGAATAATGGACTATGAATACTGGATTGTAAGAATTTATGAATAGTAAGACATTTTATTATAGATATTTTGATGATGTAATTTGCTCTTTCTATTTTTTTACTTCTTTCTTTGTTCCTCACACAAGGACAGTCAGACTCTCTATTGAAGGGCTTGCTTATAGTGGAAGAAATCTCCCTTATGCGTTTTCCATCATGTATTGATTCTATTGTCAGACTATTATTTGTATTTTTATATATTTACATTATGTTATGGTGCAAGAAATCATGTTATATCCTTTGACTGGTTATGACTAAAAGTTTCACGAAAATGAATATAAACATATTTCATGAAACCAAATTATATCATGTATGTATTTGTGTAATTGTAAGAATATAAATTCAAACAAATTCATTTTATATATTTGTCTATGAACAGATGGTGCATAGCATTAAATACTAATCAGTTGGATTTTGTCATCGATATATATGTAATCATAAGCTCAATTTCTGATTGATCGAGATTTTCTATCACGTGACAGAACTTCCGCCATTATAAACAATGATCACCTTTCTAATTCCACCAAGTATATAATGATCGATATCAATAACGTGAACTTGTGAGATTATGATTTGAAAACTGAAATATACAAATTATATCAAATTTAAAAGCATGTAGTTTTAATATATCTGTGGCATATAGGACATATTTGTAGTTGTCTAAAATATTGTATGTACGTTAATCTATATTTTCAAAAGTTTATGCTAAATTTTATTTAGGGAAGTAGGGAAGAAAAAATTTTTATACACGCAGGATTGCTGAAAAATGGTTCGATGGAAAATGTGATAAAAAAAAATATTGGAAGAGAATCGATGATATTGACGCTTATAAAAATTGTTTTTGAGTCTGTGACAGAAAAAAATGGAACTAGCAGTAATTAATATTGTCACTTTGTTAGCATATTCGCTTATTAATATGTTACAGTATGATTTATGATTTTAGAAAGTTCTGCCTATCCTTATATTGAACTCTGAATTATCTGTAACAACTGATGAAATGAATATAATAAATGATGTTTTTTCGTGCAATATTGAATTTTGTTCTAAATCTAAATATTTACTGCAATCAGGTAAGATTAAAAAAATACACTGACAAATTTTATAAAGATTTCTGGAATTAATGTAATATTTCTTTCTCTCTTATGTAATATGTATACTTTAAATTGTAGTTATTGATAATTTAAAATTAATGTATAATTTACAATTATAAACATTTTGTGCCTCAGCATCTATTAACAAGAATTCGAAGACAAATGTACGTTCTAAAGAAAGTTGGTGTGATATATTCAGATTTGAACATGCATATAAAACATTGAAGGTCTCCAATCATTAATACGTATTGTTTGAAATTT